TGTCTTCACTTTGTTTCGCGCCGCGTTGCAACCTGTTGATGTTGCTTCAGTCGTGAGTTTGCGTCGAAAACACCGCCAGCGAAGATCGATCGCTGTAATAGGGGAACTCGCACCTTATCCGTGAAGCCAAAGCTTCTCAACAACAGAAACCTATGGATTTTGGAAATCCCAGTCTTCCTTTTCTCTCTTTATTCTTTATCCTGTCAAGATTGAACATTTTTGGTAATTATATTGAACAATTTCCGTTGGAGTATCTTGAATTATTGGAAATAAAAGCATTGACAGGAGACTCTGTCTTCTGAGAGTCTAGGGTTATACGTTATACGATATAACTAGCGACATCTGCAGGCAGAAGATAGTAATGTGATTAAAAATTTCTTTAGTTAGACGTTTATCACTGATGAGTATTCTAACAGCGACATCTGAAACGGAAGAAAGTACTCTGAAAAAAGTTTCACTAGGATTTCAAGCTTCTGAATACCTAGCTAGGGACATCTATCGTTTTGGAAACAAAACTTTTCCACAGACACTTTGATTGTTCCTACTTTCAGTCATTCCATAGAAAGCGAAAACCTAGAAGGCTGTAGACAATGTTAGACAAAATTTCGAAATCACGATATTCTTTCTTACATTTTATCATAATTACCGATTTGAAGACGCTTTAAGTGATGAGAAAATGTTATTTTAGATGCAAGGTCTTTAAGTGATATTTACATAATTTTACTAGGATTTCAAGATTCTGAATACCTAGCTAGGGACATCTATCGTTTTGGAAACAAAACTTTTCCACAGACACTTTCACTGTTCCTACTTTCAGTCATTCCACAGAAAGCGAATACCTAGAAGACTGTAGACAGTGTTAGACAAAATTTCGAAATCACGATATTCTTTCGTACATTTTATCATAATTACCGATTTGAAGACGCTTTAAGTGATGAGAAAATATAATTTTAGGTGCAAGGTCTTTAAGTGGTATTTACATAATCTTGTGCAATATCTTTATTGCACGCTGGTAGCAAATTTTTGGCCAACAGTGTACCTTACCATCCAAAGTAAAGCTTCCAGAGAATTCGCGCTTCTCAATAAGCTTTGAGCGTTATTTCCTCTGCACAGCTCTGGTACAGTTGTGAAAAGCATAATCCTTCAAAGAATCTCCTATAATCCTCACAATACTCCTCCTTTCATCGGCTAAAGCCTGACGTCTAACCAAACATCAAAGCACGTGTTGATAAACATGCTTGTTTGCGTTCAGCTTCGATGTTATCTCATTGCCAGTCGACAACGACGTCGTCGCTCCGTTAGATGGAACGTGTCAGGTGCAACTGCACGATAATGGCGTCGAAAAGCGTCGCTCAGCATGAGATAGCTCAGACTCTGACGCTGTTCGAGCCACCTACGCGTCAGACTCGCGATGTGCAGCTCTATTGATGGATATAACCGTATTCGTCGAAGGAGAATACCTCGGAAAGGAGACGCTTTGGAAATTAACGATTCGAATCCCTTGGTGGAAATTGCGAGCACCCTGAAGCCACACGTGGAAAACCACCTCGTGTTTGCTACCTGCGTCTGACATCGGGACAAAGAATTCTCGTCGATCTCCTACCCCCAATGGATTCTCTCAGCGTGTTTCCAATTTTGTTCGGACTTTCAATTATCGAAATTCGATTCCGTTAGAGAGTCAGGAATTAATATTGCTCTGTCGTCATTTTAGAAACGTTACAGTTCTTCCGCGAAGGTTGAACGTATCTCCGAGGAGCTCGGTTCAAAAATCTGATAACGAAGAGCATGCGAGATTTTCCCATGTCCACGTTCAATTTTCCTTTCTCCGCCATAAAGCATTATTCGTTTGAACTTCACCGACACATGAAAATTCGAAATTTCAATCCCCTCGAGCTATGCAGCCTTGTTGGCCGACGAAAACGCTTGGCTTCGTTAAATTTCCACGCGATGCTCTCCATAGCTTTGCCAGCTTTGCAGTAACTTCCCCATCCCCCTCGACCTCCATTGTTCCCTATTCCTATCGCGAAAAAAAGCATCACATTTCCCCGTTGAATTTCCATCATCGTCTTTCTCGCATCTAATTTCGAGAGCTTGGAAAAGCGGAGATGTTTGTTATTTCAGCAATCGTCGATACCGGAAACGCCATGTCATTTTCATTTATCGTTCAATTATAGCATCCCAGCAGAAAGACGTAGATAGTACGACGCAAAATTAATTTGAAAACGTTTGACTGGCGCCTGCATCCTCTCTTTCTAATTTCAAATAGCTGAGTTGCGGATTTCCGCCATTTTCTGAGCTTCGAATATTTTGTATCTACCAAAATTCTCGATGAAGTCTGTTCTTCGAAATTTTCGTCGTTTTATGGTCCTTGGACGTTTATTCCAGTTCCAACTCAGAAACTCAAGGTTACTTTGCAGGGATCGAGTTAGACAGGTAGCAACTGATAATTCCGCGGTACCAGTGTAAACTTAGTAAAGCTGTAGTCTATACAGATACGTAAGCCAGTTTATCCAGAAGAAGCACGAGCTACAGAGATTAGCATAGAATTTTGGCCGATGTCCAGGAGTTTTCAGTCGCTCATTAGGTCTCCGTGTTCGAAGGCTTAAGAGAGAGAAGCCGGAATGCAATGGAAATATTTACCCTCGCTCAGCATCAGCCACGCGTGTTTATTCAGAACGTATGGAGCGCGCTTACACGCTGAATTCGATTCCGAGCTCGAACAGAGCCGCGTTATTAACATGACAGATGCCGCCACTCGGCTTTATAGTATTTACCAGCTTCCAGTTGTTCTTTGAAGGGGAAAAGCTGTTGTCTCGACAGCTATGTCATTTATATACTCGCTGAAGATAAAATAAAACATCCGGAGCCTTTGATAACTGGAAGTTTGCTGCGTAGGATCAGTTTAATCCTAGCAGAAAAAGGTCACCATTTTAACCACGACAGCCAATGTTTGAGGCAACTTATAATGTTTCTCGGTACAGAAGTTAGGTCACATAGATGACGAGACGTAACCTACGTTGTTTTATCTTTATCGAGAAACGGGAAAGATGAAGGAATCACTATTACCGATCATTTGCTGATACTACGAAGTTGAGGTACAGTTAATATTAGAATAACGCGATTATATCAGCAGTTCATTTATATTCTCTAAAGATGGAGTAAAATGTTGGAGAACTTTCAACTTGTGAAGATAATATCCCAGAATTGACATAAACTAGCAGACAGAAGTTAGGTTTTGAATTTCGATGGCGACAATCCGAGGCAACTTATAATGCTTCTGAATACCGAAGTTAGGTCAGATAGATGATGAGATGCGATTTACGTTGTTTTATCTTTATCGAGGAACGGAAAAGGTCAAGGAATCCCAGTAACCGATCTTTTGCGGACATTAAGGACCTGAATTAAAGTTAATATCATAATGACGTGATTATATCAGCAGTTCCATCATTTAATTATCTAAAGACAGAATGAAATATTGGAGAATTTCCACCTTGCGAAGATAATATCGCAGAATTGATGAGATCTAGCGAAAAGAAGTCAATTTTTGAACTTCGATTACGGCGATCTGAAGCAATCTCGAACGTTTCTAACCACTGGAGCTAGGTTAGATAGATGATGAGATGCATCCTACCTCGTTTCTTCGTTATCGAAAGTGAGGAAAGGTGAAGGAATCCTCGTTACTGAACAAAACTTATGCAAGTAATATTCCTTCTTGACACCTTCCGAACTTGGTCGTAGGACGAACGAGAAGGTGCAGTGAATGGAAGTTTGTCATAGCAGGTGAACGATCAGTCAAGAGAGATTAAAATTCTTCGCAGCGAGTTGTTTGTTGGGAATGTTTGCATAACGTGCTTAACAGCAATCGAGAGATGCAACACAGTTTTCCGCGGCGTTCATGAATATTTCATGCATGTGCAGGGCACATCGATGCATTCTCGAGCACGATCCTTTAATCAACGAGGACCTCGGATGCATTAACACGCGAGAGTCCTCTCGCTTCGGTGCAAATACGCGATAGTTTGCTGGCGAATTGCTTTCGCGCCGTTCCTCGCCTCTCTGTTTTATTCCTGCAAACCGTTCACGGGTTTCTTGGATTCGCAGGATTACTGGGAATAACTGGAACTAACAAACAGACCCACTTTTCGTACAGAAAGGAAACCTACTTGTGCAAATTTCCACTGTAATATTCCTCTTCCTGCTTTCAATGCCTCCATCTTTCAGGAGAAATTTGCTCCATGGAGTTTGATTTAAGTCAGGTTCATCGTCGACTTAAAGCGAAGTGGTATTCGGTGTTACGATAGTTACTCTGTAATTATAACCATCCAAAGTGGTCAAACTCTCGTCACAGGGGATTACCCTTCGTCACGGATAATCCAAATCCCTTTTAAGCCAACAAGCTGCATTTACACAATGAAGGTACAGATAAATCTTCCCCTTTAACTCGAACGTGTAATAACTTCTTCATGCTGGTTTAAACCTTCTCCAAACTTCATTCAAACTCAGTGAACCTGTATTTATTCACACCCCCGTTGAATAATCTCAGGCTCATGAACTGACTATTGCTCAAAGTCACAAATAAGAGTTCTCAGGCATATATATCTTATAATTAATATCTCAAATTGGGAAACTTGGAGAACATTCAAGTCTCCTTAATAATCAGAACCAAATAAAGATCCAAGTCTCTCAACAAGACCATAAGTAAACTAGGAATACATGACTTTCTCTGACAACTCCATCCCCATCCTATCTTCCAAATATACCTAACCTACGAGCACAGCACGGGCCCAATCTTTCTCACGAGGATCCACACAGTTAACCCAAACCCATTCGCCCCGAATGTTAAGATCCTCTGGGTAAGCAGAGTGGGGCAAGTATCCCAGAGGGAAAGCGTCGTCCAATCGAGCAGCTCGTTGTCTTTGATCAAGCAAACGCCTCCCAGACGCGTGATAGCCAAAAGCTAGATATAAAATTGGACCGCGTTGGCGGCTGGTGATCTGTAGGCCGTACCAGAAGAAATCGCCGACCCCAAGTGGCGGTGGAGGCAGCAGAACGGGTTGGCGATCGCGCAGAAGCATCACCACGGCAGGTGCACCGGCTCATCAGCACCACGTGATCGCCAGTGCAGCTGCAACTGCACAGGCCAGGATGCAGGCTGAACAGGGGAGCATCGGTGAGCTACGGGGCTACCACAACCTTAGGTCCAGAAGACACACTTTGGCCAACGTTCGGTGAGTATGGCACCTTTCTTTTATTTCATATTCCACTAATTATATATTAGAAGCTTTCATACCAATAATCTCTCGTCGTGTACATGCCTGGAATGGAAATCGTTCGCGTATTTCCAGCTCGAATATTAAATAGGGTTTACGTTGTTAGGGGTGCATGATACGAATAACGAGATTTAGCGATCGAGATGCAAATTGGTCATCGTTTGGAAATTACGTTGGCCCAGTTTAAGGGCTTGCTTTTTATTTTACTTCAAATTCAGACATTTCAGGCGTTAATCAGGTTCCGGGTAATTGCATTTGAGTCACTGACTATATGTGCATTGAATAATGGAATTCGACGATTGAGAGACAAAGCGCGTTTGCAAATAATTTTGCTACAGTTCAGGGATTAACTTTTATTTCGTTTCGAATCGGAATTTTTGCAGGACCGATTGAAGTGGGTTAATTACATTTGCGTTACCGGGAGTGCATGCAAAGAATAATAGAATTCGGCGATTCGGGGATAAATTGCTCATCCTGTCTAGGCAATTTTGAATCAGTTTAAGGGAATGATTTAAAGGTCGCGTATTTTTTAAAGTCCTATTTTAATCATATTAGTTGAAGTGAAAGGTCAGAGTATATAAAACACTGTATGATGTTATACTATAATTCTTCTATATAATATATAACTCTTCAGAGGTTTGTATATTTAAAGAATGGGTGCTTCTTAGTCAAAGAAATTTGTAAAATAATGAAAATGATATTTAATTATTTTTTCTTTTTAATAAAGTATCATCGAAGGCAGACTTTTATGAGTGTATACACAACTTTAGGTGATTGATTTGACAAAGCAGTCATCGTGTTTTATCGCGACGGATAATATTTCGTTGACCTTTCTTTATGCTTTACTTGTTGCTTGCAGTATTGATTGTTTAGTCGGGCAGCCATTAGGATGCAGCCTGTAGCTGGACGGTACCTAACTTGCATTGCATCAACGTTTACTTTTTCCAGATTCTGAAACTTTCCACATTTTACGCGAATTCTTTCCGCCCCTATTCTTCTCGGAGCAACAAATCAGAATTTCTGGAATGGTCGAAAATAGGATCGATGAATCATTGCAGCGCTTAATGCCTGCGTTCCCGATGAATCACTCGATCGAACAGAAATTCGTTTGGACTCGATTCGTTTCAGTTTGGCGACAAATTGTAATCGGTCTGTGCCAACTACTTTATTTGATCTACGAGGTAACGAAATCTGGTGAATCATAAAAGTACTAAAAATTCCCCTAGAATTCTCTTAATATCTCTGGATCTATTAAAGCGTAAATTATCGAGATCACGTATGAAAGCAAATCGATTCCTGACAACTATTTTCAATTTTTAAACAACGCTTTTGTTCAATGTAAACGTAATTAATTAGCTCTCAGTAGCTTGCTGTGAACGAAAATTAGCAGAAAATTATACGCTCGTCAGAGATAATCAAACTTAATAAAGCCTGGATTAAATAAACGTTCCTTAATGGACAAACAGCATTTATTACAACCTGACGAATTTTCATTTGAAAAAGCACAAGACAATCGTGAAGCACGTGTACAGAATATCACAAGCGTTTTCGCTTCTCCCCAGCTGGATAATCCGAAATTTAATTTCATGCTGACGGTTGATCCTATTACACGTCAGCTGGATGAAAAGGACCATCGTCCCTCGATACAATAGCTGAGCGTTATTGATTCTAAAAGAGCACCATTCATTCGGCCACATTATTGAAAATTACATACCGTTTCCTTTGTCGCATTCATCTTCGACCCTATCTTTCACCCCTGCGAGAAGCCTCGACCGGCTTTCGTTTCTTCGTCTCCTCGATGCGTTCCTACAGGGGATCCTCTCTTCCGCAGCGAATCAGCCCTCTTTCTACTCGTTCAAGGCGTTTTAGAAGTCGATGAGTATTGTTCAAAGCGCTGTCATCGGCAGAGAACTCTGGAACCCTTCACGGGTACCTGTGGCTACTTCATCAGCCGAAGCTATTGTCCTCGAACCACCGAGATTCGATGAGAAAAGAAGTTCACCACGAAGGAGCTACTTTTATCAGACCAGACAGCTTCTATTCTCACGCATACATCATCCTGTTCGCGAAGTTTTGGACGCAGGTGTTCTATTAACACGATACACTTGTTCCCTGTCAGAAGACAGGCTTGGAGATTGCAGACTTCCTCCAGATGATGTATGCAGCGACGAGGAGACAGGACTGAAACTTTGCATTCACTGCCTAGGCTGGAATCTGATAGGAAATCCGCTGAACGTGCTCTACGAAAGTCATCCTTCATATGGTTATCTATGCTACGAAAGAGGACCATTAGCTAATGGGATTTTGAAACAAAGCGTGAGGCAAGGCTTTCCACTCCTCTTCTATTGCTACTTCCTTGGTGAACGAGATATGCAAATGATCAATCGGGATCACCGCATGCACAGTGCACTCTTTTCAGCACTCCTGATTTCCCAGTTTCCATCAGACCACTGCAGGCACAGTGAACTGGGTCCTGATACTCATCGTCTATCCTTTTCGGCACTCGGTCAGGTTTGCTCTTGGGTATCTTCGCCATGCAGCTCTGATCTGACACTCGTTTGACCCTCTGGCAAGGCAGGCCTTTGCCAGGTTCGGTTATACACGTGCAGACCTCTTGATCTCTTGTAGGCTTCTTGACCACCCTCTTCAGAGGGTCTTGGGCTTTTAGAACCTCTTGCAGTTTCCTAAGCTTGCATTCTGGACAGAATGCCTCGCGTTGAGTTGTCTGGTCAGTCGGACTGCCAACTTTCTTTGACACCGGCTGGACTGATAAGATCTTGTACGTGGGCATAATCTGTGGTCCATCGGCTTGAGTCCTGGAGTCTTGAAGCGGACTAGACATTGTCTTCCCGCATTGGCAACAGTTGCATTTGCCTTCTTCCACTTCTCCAGATATCCTGCCGTAATAGATAGACCTCAGTTCCTTCTCTGGGTCGGATTTCATGTGGACACCTTCCATTCTCAGGGATCGAAGAACGTCGGAGAGTGGATGGGATGGGGAATACGCATGAGAAGCAACAAGACCACGAGGATCAGCTGGGATATGTGGAGAGGGAGCAACGTAAGCCGGAGGATACCTATCCATGCCAGTGCTTCTCATATGGAAAGAAGTACCGAGGTGTGCATGCGAGCTTTCGGCTATAGTCATTGTTGTCATCTGCTCCTTTAGGGGCTTTCTGTAAGTCAGCAGCCGCTTCATGGTTTCTGAGTCCGGATCTGTTGCTTTTGTGACTGTTACCAGCTGGGGCTGAACTTGTCTGGTTATTCTAGGTGTCGTTTGAGTCTCAACGTCGACAACTGTCTGGGTGATCACTTGAACGGTCTCGATTCTTGTCACCTCTGTCTGGGTGATTTCGATTTTCTTTGTGGGCTGTAAATTAACAGTTCGAAGAATTATTATCTGTTTAAATTAAATTCGTCAGTTAGACTTTCTACTGAGACGAACCTGACACGAGTGTTCGGTTTAGTTAAATATTGGATGTTCATGAAGACGCAGAACAATTTTTCAGACTGTCTATATGGTAAAGAGGATTTTAATACTAACAGGAGGCTGCATGGGTGGGCAGGTGCAAGGAATTACGATTTCCTTTTCTTCTGCAAGAATTAGTTCCGGCTTTATCCATGTGGATAGCTTTGGAGCTTCTATTGGTACTTCCTCTTCGATTGGTTCTCTTTCCTCCTCGTCTTTTAGCACAGTTTCTATCTTCTCCTTTGGCAGCCCCTTCACGTCTAAGTCTATATCTTCCTTTTCTGGTACTTTTACTTCAATTTCATCTTTAATGTCTAGTGGCAACACGATTTCTTCCTCTTTTTCTATCAGCACTTCTTTTATATCCTTTCCCACTTCTGGTAGCAGTTTTACTTCAATTTCTTTCACTGGCTCTTTTTCAATTTTCTCTTCCATTGGAAGTAATTCTACTTTGACCACTTCTTTTTCTATCGGTTCTTTCTTAATTTCGTCTGCTTCAGGGATCAGTTCTACTTTTACTAGTTCCTCTTCTATCGCTTCTTTCTTAATTTCTTTTGCTTCAGGAATCAATTCCACTTTGACTACTTCTTCTACAGGTTCTTTTTTAATTTTGTCTACTTCAGGAATCAATTCTACCTTGACTACTTCTTCTACAGGTTCTTTCTTAATTTTTTCTACTTCAGGAATCAATTCTACCTTAACTACTTCTTCTACAGGTTCTTTCTTAATTTTTTCTACTTCAGGAATCAATTCTACTTCTACCACTTCTACGGGTTCTTTTCTAATTTTGTCTATTTCAGGGATGAATTCTACTTCTACTACTTCTTCTACAGGTTCTTTTTTAATTTTGCCTACTTCAGAAATGAATTCTACTTCTACCACTTCTTCTTCTACAGGTTCTTCCTTAATTTTGTCTGCTTCAGGGATCAATTCTACAGTTACTACTTCTTCTACTGGTTCCCTTTTAATCTTTTCTGCTTCAGCAAGCAATTCTTCTTTTACTACTTCTTTTACAGGTTCTTTTTTAATTTCTTCTGCAGCAGCAAGCAATTCTACTTTGACTACTTCTTCTGCAGGTTCTTTTCCAACCTCTTCTACTTCTGCGAGCACTTCGACTTTGATTTCTTGTTTTACCGGTTCTTCCTTAACTTCATCTACTCCTGGATGTAATTCAACTTTGACTACTTCTTCACCTCTTTCTTCTCTCGCTACTTCTATTGCTTCCTTCTTTTCTTCTTTTGGTACTAGTTCCTCTGCCTTCTTGACTGCCTCTTCTGTTTCTTCTTTTACTAATGGTTCAATTTTCGCTTCCATTACTGGTGCAACTTCCTTCTCGACTGGAACTACCTTTTCTTCTTTCTTTTCAACAATTTCCTTTTTGACTTCTTCTGCTGGTAGCTTTTCTGTCGCCATTTCTATTCCTTCTGGTGAAATTTCTTTCTTTATATACGTTGTAGGAGGTTTCTCCTCTTCTTTAACTTCTGTTACACCTGGCGTAGGTGTTTCCTTTACAAGAACTACAGTTTCTTCCATTTTGGTTATTGTTGGTACTTTCACCGTTTCTTCAGCTGCTTCTTCCTCCTCAACAGCACCTGGCAAAGTTTCTTCTCGTGGAACCACCACTTCTGGTATTGCGGAATCCTCTTGCATCGCGCTTATTTCTGGCATCAACGGTGTCGTGAGTGGCTTTGTCGTATAGTCTGTCTCAATTTCTTCCTTGACTATCTCTTCCGGGGCAGGAGGTTCCACCATTACCTCGACTTCTGCTTTTGGTACTTCTTCCACGGCGGACACTTCGACCGTTGTAACTTCTGGTTTCACTTGCACTTCGATCTCTGCAGAAAGTTCGTCCTCAGGTCTTATCACAGTTGCTTCGTCACGAGGTCTGGGAGTCTCGATTATTTCTTTCACTCCTGTCTAATGTGCACGAATAATTGAACCTTCGTTAAAGATAAATAAGACTCAAACGGCAGGGTTGTATTTTATCCGACATCATCAGATTGGATTTAAAATTTCAGGTAATACAGATACTAAATGTTGAAATACTTACTCCAGTGTGCGCTGCCATCATTGCTGCCAATTTATCAGCATCTGGCTTTACAACGACGCAGTCGATACATTTCTATGTTTCAAAACAGTTAAAGTGGTTAGATATTATTTTTTTTCCCTTTCTTTATTTAATAAATATTATGATGTAAG